TTTAAATGTGTTATATCTGTCGGTTATGAGAAAATCTGTTAAAATTACAACCTTTGGACTGGAAATTGAAAGCCTTAGAGGCGCGATAAACCAAAACTGACTTTATATCTATGTTTAGCATAATTTTGGAACTTATTGGGAAATTTTAGAAAATTACGATTTGTAATGAATTAATTACATTTAATTAGCTTAAATTTTAATTTTAGTTAATGTGAGCTTTATTAGCTAAGTCTAATTGGTGATTAGATTAAATTATCTATACATGTGTGTGAGTTTTAGCTTAAGGACTCATAAAATATCTCCTAGGGAGGTACAAGAGAGAGAGAGAGAGAGAGAGAGAGAGAGAGATAAAGACAATAGGAAGAGGAAGCTAGGAATTGAAAGAAATCAAGGGACAATTCAAAGATTTGAGCTAAGTTAATCTATCTTTGATCCTTGTAGATAACTCATCAATTCATAAAATCAAGGATTTAGTTGAAGATTTAACATTTAAATAAACTAGGGTTTTTGAGTTATGGATGATATGGGTTAAATTCAAGAAATTGAACTTTACATCCTTTGATTTTGCCTGATTTGAGTTCCATCTTGGGAAAGACTCATGAAATGAGTTCTAGGGTTTATAGATTATGATCTTGATTGAACACATCTCATGAACATGAACATGTAATCTTTGGGTTGTGTGCTTAAAAAGTTAATTCCTTTATTTTTAGTTTGATTTGGGTTGGATTGTGAGAAATTGTGATTTAATCTTGAGTCTTTGCTTGCTTTGAACTCATGTAAGCATATATGTAAGCATATACAACATGTATAACATGAAAAGATGAAGGAAATTAGGGAAATATGAAAATTAGGGTTCTATGTGTCAAATTAAAGTAAGTTATGATCTCCTTGAGCTTGAGTTTCAAGCTTATTATGTTTATATGTCATGTTTTTGAAGTGAAAGTGCTTGAATTAGGCCTTAGAAATGCACTTGGAAAGCATAAATTTGTTTTATTTTCGGACTACACAACAGAGCCCAAAACCTCACGTGTGGGGCCTATAAACTCATGTGCGGGATACACAGCCGCATGTGCGGAAAATAGAGCAAGCAAGTCAAAAATTTTGAAATAAAAGCATGTGCCGACCACACGTGCGACACACCTTTTCGCACATGTAGTGCAGGTCTTTTGCACGTGCGGGAAATAGGGAGGAAAATTGATGCATTTTGTTTATCTTTTCGACCCTCTGAATCTGTTAATGTGTGTATTTAAGCCCTCCCAAAATGCTTAAAGATAAATGTAAATTGAACGAAATGGAAAAGTGATTAAGAGAAGGAGCTAAGAAAAGAATGAATTGCTTATCAAGTTGTGTGTGTTTGTAATATGTAGGTCACTCGCCGGAAGGGTTCGTTGCATGACCGAATCACTATGAGTAATAGTAGTGTAACAATATGTTATAACTTATGTATTTTTTATTGTGAATGGCATACTCTATATACCTTGTGTACTGATTTCAATGAGTGGGCATTTGATAGCAATAACATATGAAATGAACCCGAGGTTGTACTGTTTCTATTATGTATGATGGGCCCGAGGCTGTTATGTTTGATATGGATTACTTATGACCTATGGCCCTAAGGCCGAGGGAGATGGAGACATGTCAATGTTCTATCTACCCTATATTTTTTAGAACAACTGTTACTATGTTGGGCTTGAGGCCGTTCCGCATTATGTTGGGCCCAAGGCCGTTCTGTTCTATGTGAGAGATGGAGACATGTCGATATTCCATCTACTCCATAATAAGATGTGTTTGGACTTGAGGTCGTTTTAAACTATTGATATCATGTGATTAGGCCCAAGATCGTTCTATCATCCGTGGGCCCGAGGTCGTTCTGTTAACATGTGATTAGGCCCGAGGCCATTCTGTTACATGTGGGGCCAAGGCCGTTTCGCAATAAATGGGCCTGAGGCCGTTTTGAAAATATGATTATGAATAGTGTTATGTTTAACGTGACTATGGTGGATGCTCTGAATATTGCACTTTGGACAAATATTGGGTTTACATCACATGCATTCATTTAATTTACTTTACTATTATTCACTGAGCTTCGCTCACTCTGTATTTATATATATTTATGTAGGCGTTCAACCCAAAGGTCAGTCCTAGGTCAGCTTTAGGAGTCTTTTTGGTGGACCTGCTTTGATAAGCTTCCAAAAAGGAGCCTTTTGTCTTTTGGGATTTTTCTGTGATGGCAAATGTTGTTAAGTCTTTGGTGATTTTTGTTTGGACACCTTGTCAACATGTAATTTTTGGATTGCAAACTCCTTGTATATACCTTCATGACTCGTACTTGTATGTATAAACTATGTATGTGAACTTTCTTTATATGACATGATGTTTAAAATCCTGGCATGTAAGCACTGCTTAATGGATGTTCTGTTATTTTATTTGCTTCTGCTTAGGCCCCGTTATTATAAATTCTTTGTAATCTATCTGAGGCCATAAGTAATTAAGAGGTTACTGGCCGGTCATGATCCAAACTTTTAGGAGCGGGTTTGGGTCGTGACAATGGTAGTGGTAGCAGTGGCATGGTGATAGTGGTAGTGATAGTGGTAGTAGTAGCGGTGGCGGCGGTGGTAGTGGTGGTGTTGGCAGTGAGTTTATAATAGTGTATATTGATACTTATATTTAGTATTTATAAATTCGGTCAAAATTAAGTAAGTTTCATATTACTTAAATTTTTCTTAAATTTTAGCCTATATTTTAAGAGGCAAATAAATTTTTTAAGTAGTATCAATTATAGTTATCAAACAGACTTAATTGATTATCACTTAATACATTCAATTTGAAATGTTGAATCATGTTACCAAACACTCCTTGGTCATTAATATTGGACTTTGGCCTGAGAAGTTTATGCTTTTCTAGCGTAGACACTAGGGGTGGACAAGCATCCACCAAATTCGCCAAAAATTGAATGGCCCGAATTGTTCTGTCACAAAATAGACAATTTCAATAGTCTAAGTGGATGAATGAGGATGTATTTTTTCCCAACCAAACTCGATCCTAAGAAAATAAAGTTGTGCTTTTATATTTTGTGTTAAAAAAAATGACTTTTTATTTAATAATTACATTTACTATTTATGAAATATGATGTTGAACCTTTATTTTTATTACAAAAATAAACAATAAAAAAATTTGGGTACAAAAAATAAAGAAATATTGAAAAATATTTCGAAAAAAAGCTTAAACACAATAAATTCAAAACACCAAATCAATCCACATCCACCCGCTACGACCTACCATATCCACATCCGCTAACTTAGTGAGATAGCAGTTTGCCACGAAAATGATGGAAGGCTAATTCAAGTAATCCTTTAGAGCCCGTTTGTTTTGAGGTATGTTGGGTGGAATTGTTAGCGAGAGAATTATTAGCAAGGGACTGCTAGTGTGGTACTAAGAAAAATTGTATTTGTTTGATAATCAATAGACTAGCAATAGTTCTTGTTTGTTCTGAGAGGTAAGAGTGGGATTAACCATATAAAATGTCGCAAATATCGTTGTTGCATTATTATCAAATTTGGACTTATACCAACTAATAAATGCATTACATATTTTAAGATTAAAAACATATTTTATAAATATTAAAATTATATTTTAATATTAAAAATTATCTTTCATAAATATATATTTTTTTGGTACTATTTTATTTTTTTAATATAATTTTTTTTGGTATAAATGTTATTATACTATTATATTTTTATATTAAATTATTTTGATATAAAGAATGGTGGAGTAAAAAGTGATAGAATAATTTTAAAAAATGATATAGAAAAGACTATACTAATCAAGTAGAGTAAGTAAATTAGGTAGGATAATAGAGGGCAAAATAGTAAATCATTCTATAATCCCAAGGGATTGTTTTTTTAATATCATCTTCCATATGGAACTACTAATTTCATCCATAAAGGCCTATCATAATCTCAGGATACGGTGGATCTCCTTCCCGATTTTGCAAATAAATACAATATTGATGGATTCAACATCCATCCTAATCCAATCTTATCTCCTATAACCCAAAACAAACAAGCCCTTAGTGAAAATTTTTCACTTGATTATTGCTACGTAGAAGTCTTGGGCTTTGTTTGGCTTAAGTTTCAAATCACAATTTCACCCTTATATTTGAATGTTATGGTTGATTTAAATTTTTAAAAATTGATTCTAATGTCATATTTGAATACACATTTCAATGTATGTTTGGCAGAGTAGAGTTTTTGAATTTTGAATTTACAGATTGGGTCTACTCGGTTCCGCCCGAACATATCCCAGACGTCTGACCGGTTGACCAATACAATGCTTTTTTTTTTTTTTTACAATTGCAACCTGTTATTTGAAAACAACACATTTATTTTTGATATTTTTTAAATATAGAAATTATTTTTTTTAGGCCGTTTTTAAACAAAACAATTAAAAAAATTCCAACCAAAACAAACGATCAAAACTAATTTTAAAGTAGTAGCTGAATATTTTTTCAACAAAAATAATATATTGTTTTAGTATTTTAAATAAAAAATATTTTTGGAATTTTTAAAATTTTTTAAATAAAAAAATTATTTTTTTTCAATAATTATTTTTTGAATTAAATTTTAAAAAGAGTTTGGTTATAAGTTTTGAATAGAGTTTTTAATAGAGTTTTGAGTTATGTGTTTGGTTATGAATTATAAGTTTTTGATTTAAGTTTTGAAATTTTTTTTCAAAACTCATAACCAAATAATTTTTCTCATTTTAAAATTCAATTCAAAATTTAATTTAAAAATATTTTCAAAACTCATAACTAAATAAATTTTTTCTTTCTAAATCATGATTCAGTAACTTACAAACTCAAAATATAGCTTCATTATCAAATGATAGTTTCCAAAACTAAACCAAACCCTGCTTTGATTTTTCTCAATCTATGCACGTTCAAATGAATAGCAGGTGAGAAGTAACTCGGTCCGCGAACAAGGATACACGCTTAAAACCGGCCCGGCCCGGCCCATGGGACCAAAGTACCAAAATGAATGAATGACTGAATTTGCTGAGCTCGGTGAGTCGGTCAGTCATCCAAAAACCAGAAGCAGAACGTTCAGGAAAGCGTTGATGCGAACCCCAATCTTGTCTTCATACTCCCAAGTTCTGCAGAAATGGTGAGAAATGTCTGTCATTTTCATTTCATTTGCATTTTAATTAATTCCATCATACTTTATTATTCTTTCATGTCCCTTTTATCTCTCCTTGTGTTCCTTTGAGAATCCTTGATCATCATCATGTTTGGTTTCCATGCTTTTTTTCAACTTGTAATTTGAATTCTCACATGGGTTTGGGACTAAGGCTTTCAAGTCGTTTGAATTTCATGGAGTCTTGCAATTACATGTCTTAGAGTCCTGATGTTTGTTCTCTTTTTCTTGCTCAAATAGTAATTTAATTTTTATAATTTGAACTGATTGTTGGGTATCAAACTTAAATAGTTGCTGATTTGTTTTTTACAAATTGTAGAATTATTACTGTTAATCTGTGTGGTCGGATTTAAACCAAAGACTTTTTTCCTTTTTCTTTTTTTAATTTCAGTTTGCAAACCCAATTAAAAGAGTCCTTTTTTTTTTTTAATGGCCCCTTATATGTAATGAAATTTTCATGTCAATACAGTGGTTTGTTGCCAATCTGCCTTTAAATTACAGTGAAGTTTCAGTCATCATTAATGTTTTATGCTGATTTTCTTTGTTTGACTGTTATGGTACTGATCAAATGCTCTTTTCTTTGTAAATATGTTGATGCTTGGGTTCGTGATGCTGTTGTGCTTTCAACTATTTGGGAGGAATAATTTCGATTTAGGCTCTCTTTGCTTCGACGTAAAATATTTCACAATGGAAAATACTTTTTATGTAAAAAGTTTTTATGAAAAAAATTTAAAAAAAAAAGAAAAAAACTGTTTTCAATTATATTTTCCAATGTTGGTTGGTCAAAATCAAATCTGATGGTCGTGACAACAGCCCTTGAAAATGGTGGCTGACCTGGCGCCATTTTGGCAGTCAAGGCAACGATGGCTCTCTCCCTCTTCACTCTCGAGCTTCCCAGCCGTCAGGTTGGAGCAACCCAAAATTAACTTACAACTTTGAAAACGAAAGTCATGTTATACGACTTTGGTAGTGTTCAACCAAACAATGTAATTGGGTAAAATATTAATATTTTACGTCAAAACAAACATAGCCTTAGTTGAAAATAAATTTCATATTAGGGTCTCCGAAGGAGTAATTACCATTGATATGAAAAATTCCAGTGGAGATCTCAGTTCATCATTAAGTTAAGTTGTTGTGGGATGACAGTATTGCATCAAATAAATTTTGGTTATGCTTGGAAAGGAGCAATCAAATCATGTCTTTAGTGATTATAGAAGAAGATAAGACTCCAGCTAAATCTTAAGGCAGTAAACATAACCAAACCATGCCTTAAGTCCCATCAAATGGGACTGACTACATGAATCTTTCTTCTCCACTCGATTCTATCAACGGCCATTTCGGTAGTCAAATTAAGGAGATTCATATCTCTATTTACTACACTAGTCTATGTCAATCTAGATCTGCCCCTTTCCGTGATACTTTCATCAACCGTCACTATATCAACATTTCGTCACATACAACATCGCTGGTCTAATAGCCATTTTATAAAACTTTTCTTTTAGTCTGGTGGGTATTCGTTTATCACACAGTACCCCAGACTTACTCCTCCACTTAAACCACTCCGCCTTAATTCTATGGACCACATCCGCTCCAATCTACCCAGTCATTGTGATAATCGATCTTAAATAACGAAAATGTTCACTTTTAGGTTGTTCTTAGTTCTTAATTTTCATTTCTCCCTGCTTCCATTGTTACTATTACTAAATTTACACTTCATATACTCTGTCTTAGTTCTGCTTATCCTAAATTCTTTAGATTCAAATGTTTCTCGCCAAATCTCCAACTTAGTGTTAACTTCTTCTCTAATCTAATCCACTAACAAGATATCATCTTCAAAAAAACATACACCATGACACATCATCCTGAATATTTCTTGTCAACTCATCCATAACTAAAATAAAAAGATAAGAAGTTAAGGTTGATCCTTGGTGTAACCTACAGTAATTGGAGATTCACTTATCTCTCTAGCCGGTAAACTAATGGTGGTTACCATACCTTCATGCATGTCTCTAATCACATAAATGTAACATTTTGTCACCCTTTTCTTATCTAACATCCACCGGATTTATATCCCAAGACACTCTATCATATACTTTCTTAAGATCGATAAAAACATATGAACGTCTCTTTTCTTTTCTCTATATTTTTCTATTACTCTCCTCAAAAGAGAGATCACTTCCATTGTTGACTAACTAGGCATAAACCCAAGTTGATTCTCTGACACCTCTGTTATATCTCGCAATCGACGCTCCATCAATTTCTCCTTCACTTTCATTACGACACATTAGCTTAATGAAAAATGGACACAAATTTTTTAGTTGCCCATTTGCCCTAATACTCCTAACTTGTGAGGAGTCTTATGCAAAAATCTTAGAGCATGTTTGGTACGATCGAATGGGCTGCAATGGAATGCCCATTCTAGTTTTGCATTCCCTTTCCCTTGTTTGGTACGCCTTATTTAAGTAGGAATAGTTATTCCATTGGAATGGCTATTCAGTAAAATGTGGAAATGTTTATTCCTTCTTCTAACCTAAGGAATGGCCATTCCATTCCATCATGGAATTACCATAAAATTTTATTTATTTATTTATTTATTTTATTTTTTTGTTAGCACTTAAAAAAAATTATTATTTAACTGCTACTACCATTCCGTTTTCCTATCACCGTATCACCACCTCCACTGCCACAGCCAACTGCCACCCTATTGCCACCACAACCATCACTACCGCCACCACAACCATCACTGCCACCACCACGACCACCACCACTGTCGCCGCCACAACCGCCATACCACCATACTACCACCACTATACTACCAATGTCGCCACTACTACCACCACCACTACTATTGTTGGCCGCCACAACTGCTGCCGTCACCACCACTACCACCACCGCTGCAACCACAACATCACCACAACCACCACCACTAAGGCCACAACAATCTACTACCACCATCCTCCTATCATTGCTATCACCACTACTGATGTCGCCGCCGCCGCCGCCACCATCACCACTACTATGACTCACGCCATCACTTTCACAACTATTAATATTATCATGATCTATATAAATTTTTAATTTATTTGTTACTAACTTGTTAAAAAAATAAAAAAATAATAAAAATTTATTCCTTTCCATGAGTTTAATAGGTATAACCAAATATGAGCATGAGAATTTTCATCCTATTCCTATGTCATTCCATGTTGGCAACCAAACAATGGAATGGGAATTGACATTACATTCCATTCAACCTTGTATTCCATTCTTATTCTCATTCCATTCCCACTTCATTTCATTCCATCGTACCAAACATGTTGTTAAGGAATTAATAAGATAGAAAAGTCTATGTTAAGGCTTGGTTTGGGACTTAAGGATTCATATAGCCTACCTCATTTGATGGGACTTAAGACTTGGTTTGGTTTGATTTGGTTTAAAAGTCTATGTGATTTTGTAACTTGTAAAAAAAATTCAATTTGTGTTAGAGTGGCTATTGTGCTAACTTGCATAATTAATTAGAATGGGATCCTGAAGAACTTATGAGTTGTGTTTTTTTACTTGAATTTTTCCATTGTTCTTTGTGACTCTAATAAGCTGATTGTACTTGTTTAGCGGTCTCTTTCATGACATTGATTGCATAGTACTTGTAGCTTTGGTGTTGGAGGCAAATGCATCCTCTTTAGTTTTGACATTTTTTGGAGCCTCGCAGTATAAGTAGTGGTCTGATTAATTTCTAAATCTTCTAGGAGTTACTGACATAGCGAAATATGCACAAAACTAGATATCGTTCTAGTAGACGAAGATTCTTAAATCCACAATAAAGAAACCCTTGAATCTACAAGGAAAATAGAATAACTTGAAAATTATATTGATAGAGAATGCCTTTGTCCATAGGCATACATGACTATTTATACTAGATGAAGTCTTGGAAACCAAGCATACTTGGAGACTAAGGAAAATATAAGAAAATAATAAATTAAGATAATACTAGTCTTGGTCACCAAGAACACTTGGAGACCAAGTATTACAAGTAACTAATTAGGATAATCCTTGGTCAGCAAGAAAAATTCTTGGTAGCGAAGTAAAACTTGTTTAAAACTATCATTTCATCATTGGTAAATACTTTGATTTCCTTGTCTTGTATTTGTCTAACTACTTCAAGAATTTGCAACCACTTATTCTACATCAGTTAATCTAGGAGGATTTGAGTATTGTAGGTGGCTTTTGAAGCCTCTTTTTTGTTGTTTCATCTTAGGAGGGCATAAGTCTCACACATGCCTTCAAACGTTATTGATGCCCCTGGAATACAAGTTTAACTAATCTCTGACACACTAAAACAATCTTTAGCCGAATTTTCTAGGTGGTGGAAGTTAAGGCTTTTATAGTGTTCATTTCATATATTTTAAGTAAATTACAAATGCATTTCCTAAGATTTGCTTAAAATATGAATTGACCCTTGTGGTTTTGAAAATTACATCCTACCATTTCAAATTTCTAATTGCATAAAAAATGGCCCCTTTTTATGAATGAATCATTAACTCAACTAACAATTTTTAATGATATTAGAATTATATTTCAATTAACAATTTTGGTAATTTAATTGTTGTATAGAAGAGTAGTTAGGAATTTCATTTTTTCTGTTAATTCTATTAAATAGTTTTGTTTTTTTGTCAATGGGGTATTTGTAATTTCCAGAACCATAGGGAGAAATTCATATTTTAAGCAAAACTCAAGGGGTGTATTTGTAATGTACCCTTTTATTTTTTATTTATTTCTACCCCACAGGAGAGGGATATATTCTTGTAAGAAAATAAACTCTTATTCCATAAATTTGTACACAACCGAAGTGTTGTTAGGTTATTGATGTGTGTTTGCCCCTAACAATACAAAAGGAGAAAGAGATCAGTAAACAAGAGAACACCAAAGAACACTTTGTCATACACTACATTACATTCAACATTAACAATGAATTC